TATGGGCCAGATTTAAACACCCCATGGGCTGGATCCGGCCCCTGGGCCTTGAGTTTCACACCCCTGTTCTAAAGTAATAGGAATCACAAACTCAGTCTAAAATGTACTGTGTCTGATGCAAGGGAGAACACTGTATTCAACTATGGCTTTTTGTTGCTGTTCTTTTACACTCAGGCTCACCGTCCACTAACCAAGGAGGAATGTTCTAGTTTTACTCTCTCCTCTCGAGCTGTTCCAAACAAATAGAAGGCAAGCAACTTTCACATATATGAAAATGAAGTAACTGCAAACACACGAGAGAGCCAGAGTCCTGATTCCATGGAAAAATAAATTACAGTTTTCTTAATCATTTTATTTTATTTACTTTTCATCTGGGAAAACTAGTAGAGCAAATAACATAAGAAAAAGTTATTTGGACTAACAGTTTATCAAATTATATAAAACTGAGAATGAATTCTGCTGCTGCAACAAGGCATATTGAAAGAACATCAGAAGCCCAGTTTTTAGTTGAAATAAATTAATGTGTGCTTGCTTGGCTTATTTGGGTGTCAGAAAAACTTCTTTCTATATCATTCCCTGTCCAAACCCTTTATATATGCATCAGAGATTTAATTGCTCAGTTTGGGGTTGTTGGGGTTTTTTTTGTTTTTTTTTTGGTGGGTTTTTTTTTTAATACTCCTCAAATCATCAAAATACTTGCTCAGAGAATGGTATAATTGCTGTATGTTATGGTTAGGGTTAAAATACATTTACTCTCTTCACTCATTCTTCTTTCATACCCATTGGCAAAGAGAGTTTTTACTTTTAAGTTACCAGTTAAATTACCAGCATAGAAGATGGCTGTATGTTTATAGGATGGTTTAGAAGGAGCTTGATTTTAACTTGTTCTGAATAATTTTAATTAACCATCTTTTAAAAAATTAAGATAGCCTAGAAAGGCCTGGTTTCTTGAAAACAGTAGTGAAATCTTTTGCCTTGAGAAAGGCCTGCATAAGCATGAAACAGGCCCATTTATTTTCATATCATAAAATGGTGGCTTCTCATCATGCCGAACCAAATCTTTGTAATTGTTTACACTCTGGATTCAAACATATATGTTTATTAGACAAAGGTAACTTGGTACCAGTAAAAACATATCTGATGAAATTGACACAGAAAACATTCTTCATTCTTTGTGTTATTCCATATCATTTCTGGGATCTGTATTTCTGTACCTAAGAAACTTTGATTTCTATGCAGTTTATAATGCCATATATTGTATCTAAAGGAGTCATTCACATGACCCTACTGAAATACGTTCTGTAGTAAACCATTATGGGAGGCATGGTAAACTGAAGATGTCTTTGCAAAAGTGGAGTTGACAACTGCAACAAACTGAACCTGTCTTGATAAGGATTGGATAAGAGTTCGCCCACATGTGCTCTGGACAGCTGCTCCTTATGAGGAGAATGTGTGTCAGTGGTCTGCTGCAGGCGTGTGAGCTGGGAGATGATGGGATTCACCATCTTGTTCCTAACCCTGGCAGAGCCTTTTGAAGGATACCAGGTTTACAAATCTCTTTTCTAGTCATTTTTGGAAATTGCCTATTAACCATTTTAATGCTATTAGAAACCTTTGGAACAACAAGATTGAAAAGTGGCCAGGTGAGCTTCAAAAATAAATGTGAAATTAACAAAAACTTAACAATTTACAAGAATTTGAAATAAACAACTTCAAAGAATTTGAAATAAAGCTAAATAAGATTTTGATCTAAGAAAGTTACAAATGGATTAAAGGTGCAATTAAATTTGAAATACTGACTTTTACAGTAGGATTTCCACAGGGTGGGACAATGGCAGAGAAGGTTTTCTTACTGGACCCTGCCAGTCAAAATTCTTTAATTGACAGGGTTTGTAGCATACCTACTGTGTCTAACCGGGTGGCCTGATGTAATGATAGTTCTGCAGATAACCTGACCCCATGCCATGTATTACTTTAAAGGTCATAACCAATACCTTGATTTGGACCTGGAAGCAAACCAGCATGCAGTGTAGCTCACACAGCAGAGATGTTACTGTTACATGCACTGATCTTGGGGTGCCGAAAATTGCGTGCATGGCTTTCTCTATCAGCTGAATGCGGGTTTTATTCTTTCAAGAAAACTGATGGTGTTTCTCAAACATGATTCTGAAATTTGTAGCAATCAGGATTGTCACCCCAGTTTAACAGCTCAGAACTGATTCTTTGAAGAAATTGTAACAGAAAGAACTGGTGGAGAAATTGTTTGAATTTAGCAGACTATAAATGCTTTAATACATATATACATACATTCTTTCCCATGTATTTTTATTTTCAGATGCAGGATGTTATTTGTGGCGTTTATAACTGTTCCTCTTATAAATTAATCATTTATTGATACACAGTGCTGTCACTTAAGGATTACAAATTGCTTTTGATGTCAAACTAATCCTTTGGCTAATCCAATTTTCATTTTGCTTTTGTTTGAAAGAAACCTGTGGGTATTGCTAATAGATATTAACAGTATAAATACCATAATATATATAATAATAATACACACACACACACATCTTTACATTGTAGGTATGAATAGACGCCAAGAGCAGCTTCCTTGCTTCATATAAGTTATTCTATTAGAAAATCCCTTAAAATAATTAGGGTTACAAATGTTGGAGGTAGGTCCCATTGATAACCAAAGCACTTTAGTAATAAAGAGATCATGATTTGATATTTGTGCTGGGGTCCTTGAAATGTAATAGCTATAAAGGAGCAAGACTATTCCAGTAATAGTATCTTCCATATGAAATGGAACTCTTTGTTTTGGGATAATTCACAGATCATTTCCTAGTCTAGTTGTTAATTTTTGTTCTATGGAGACCAACAAAATAACATTTTTGCTGCTGCCAGCTACTTTGTTAATTGTGATATTGTTGTTTTAATCATTCTTAATGTTAATTGACTTGTCTTGCTGATGGTACAATAAACAGCCCATTTATTGTAATTTTTATGAACTACCTTAAGGACCTTTTTTTTTTTTTTGAAAGGCTGAATTGATGGGTTTTTCTCATTTATTAGTCCTTTTTTTGGATTGTTAAATTTATTATTATAAACCCATTGTTTTACTTTCTAAATATGCTGTTAGCCATTCAGAGAAATAAAAGACAAACATTTAGTGGTTGGTGGTCAATAAACAGTTGGGCAATTCAGTGTCTTCAGTTCTTATCATTATTGTTAATTGGATTGCACCCCATCCCCCCCCGAGAGATGCTCCATGCGTTGGAGGTTCTCCTGAACTCACAGTTCTTGCTTAAGGATGGATGATGTGGTCTTCATTCATCTCCAACAGATTTACCAGTTACAACCCTATCTGGATAAAAAAAAAACAACTCTTGATCACCATGTAGCTGGACTATTGTAACACACTCTTTGGAAGGCTGCCTTTGGAGATGACTCAGAAGCTACAACTGTGGTGCAGAAGGTGGTAACCAGAAGGCTTACGGTCCGAATTGATTCTGCAGAATAAGATTGATTTCAAGTTGCTACACTGACTACCTGTAGGCTTTTATGTCCACTTCAAAGAGCTGGTTATTTTCTTCTAAGCCAAATACACTGCAGCACTGGGATCTATCAAAGAGCTACATTGACAAATTAAATCTGCCCACCTGCTCTCTTGCTTTTCCTCATGACAATACAAGGAAGCTGGGTTGCGCAGCAGACCATTGTAGCAGTTGCCAGCACATTCTGAAATATGGCAGCCCCATGCATCTTTGTCGTTTACAAGACTGTGAAGGGCCACCAATACGCCCTTTGGCCCTGTCCCAAAGTGGATGAGCCTTAAATTCAGGAACAGCTATTACTATTGTTATGACCACCGGTTTATGTTCTACCTTTTTTGTCTTCTTCATTGGTTGCTGCTTTGGGGAAAAGGGAATGGAAAAACCGGAGCTGCACACTTTTTTTTACTTTCACTGGCGCGTTTTTAAATGGAGGAAATGTGAATAAAGTGTTGGTTTTTGCCTCGGCCACCAGTATGCGTTTCCCCTGATGCTTCATTCTGGCCTAAGGCGGAAAAGAAATTTGCTTGACATTAACCTTCCACCTGTCTCAGCTTATTAGAATTTCCCTTTTCTTTCCTTTTGACTGGTTAACCTCTTGTGCTCCTGCTTCCCCTCCCCGAGGAAATAAAACATTTAAGCTTGGTCTTCCTGGTTCACATTTCCCAACTTTGTAGGAATTCTGCTGCTCTCCGCCCCCCTCCTCCCCACACACCCGAGTATTAAACAGTAGCCTCTGTCACATTCTTTGTAGTTCATGAGCTTGCCAGAGGTGAACCCTGAGCAAATTGGACAAGACGGGAGCTTGGCTAATGAATTCATGATGAATGTTCTATCTGCACTGGTTTATTTAAAGATCCAAACCCCTAGTCACTAAAATCATGCTGTTTGCCTCTTAAAGCAAAGATAACATGATCTTTGCAAGGCCAACTACAGTAAAGCAATGCAGGTCAGTAGAATGTGGGGGATACAGAACAGGGGTGGGTTCTACTTACCTTTACTACTGGTTCGCAATGGGAGTGCGCATGCGCGCTTGCTTTGCTCACACGTGCGCTTCTGCGCATGCGCAGATCATAATGACATCCGGTAGGGTGGGCGGAGCCTCCCGCCGCTTTTACTACCGGTTCGCAAGAACCCGACCGAACCAGGAGCAACCCAACACTGATACAGAAACAAGCTGCCTTTACTTACTGTGCTCAGCTACATTTTGTTCAGAGAAAAACAAAAACTACATTTGAAAAAGAAATGATTCTGTGTTTGATGTTAAGGCAGTTTAACAAAAACGCAAAGTAAAATCACTTTTTAAAAAAAGTTTATATCTTTCCCGCTCTCTTACTTTCTCCATTTTATTTAAATTATTAGAATTTAATGTCTGATAATGTTTGTTGATCTAGTGTTTTTTGATGTTTGTTGATCTAGTGTCCCCCCCCCTTTTTTCTTTTTAATCAGCCTCGAACAGCTTTGGATCCTAACCTTGAGGGGGTGTGATGAGAAATGGCTTTGGGAGACAATACACAACGAAGTTACTCTATCATCCCATGTTTCATCTTTGTTGAGGTGAGCTTTTCGACAACTTGTAATAGGAAACAAAGATTCGATAGACAATAGGTGTACAATATTTTTTTTTTACTACTTATATGAGAAACTAGGATAAACTCATCATAACAAATTGGTTCTGATGAGAAAATACCACCAGGGCTTCAATGCTAGCCATATTAACCTGCATGGTATTCTTCTTTTAAATGGTATTTTTATGGATTTTGATTATTTCTATATTTTGTATTATGTTGTTTTTGTATTATGTATACTAATTGTAATTGCACATTTACAAATTGTAATTGCCATCTAGAACGAAAACAGATTAAGGTGACCTATAAATTTTTACAAATAAATAGTCTTATGTGAACCTTACTAAAGAGAAAAAAAGAGATTGGCTCAAACATTCACTTTATTTCTTGTCTTTATGCTAGTCTGTGACTGTAATAAAGATTTGATTTGATATATCTTGTCTTCCTGGAATTGAACCCATAAGCTTTTAAAATATTCATTTACTTATTTATTTATTTATTAGTATATAACTACTTCGATATGAGCCACTCTGCAGGATAGAGGTTGTCAGAAAATTAGATTCACAATATAAAGTTGATTTTTATCTATTTGTCTGAAATGACTAAATTGGATAAGATAGCATGGCATCCAGAAGATGGCTGGTTCTTTTTTCTTTTTGGAAACGAAAATCTATTGGAGCTACAGAAATGTCTGCAAGAGAATATACATTCTGATTTCATGCCTTTTGTTAAAAAAATACTGAGAATCCTTTGCTGCATAAGCAGATTATATTTCTTCCACTCTGCTTCTTTATAACAGCCAAAGCTGGGATTTCACATTTTCACTCCATCCCCATTAAAGTTTATGCAGCAGATCCATTCTTCCTGGGGGGATGCAAACTTAACTTGCAAAATTGTATGAATGAAAATAATTTTTTTTAAGAAAATAGAAGTTATACTCAGTTCTTTGTCCTCCAATATGTTCTCAGCTTATCCTATCCCCACTTTTTGCATTATGAACATCAGATCTAACTCATACAATGTTGGTTCAATATAAATAAATATAAATAAATGATAGTTTAGCTCCTTTACCCATTCATCAAATGAGTCTACTTTTTTTTCTTTTGAAGTCCTGCAAGTGCTTAAAAATGCTTAAATGAGCACTTAAACATATCAATTTCTTTGCCTTCCTGTTATATGACTGTGATGGAAAAGGCTAAGCAATTTAAATAGATTGTTTAAAAAAAAAACCCACTCTAGGGGTATACCTAACCTCTTAGGCACCAGTAAATCAGTGGCTTTTTGATATGAAATGATGAAGCCACCTATAAATACCACATTTGTTTTTTTGTTTGTTTGTTTTAAGCACATATAAGTAGAAATCCAATTCTTGCCTCTCCAAAGCCTCTTCCAGTAGATTTAATGCTTTCAGCTTCACCCAAGTTTTCTGTAATGCTCCCAAGTAAACAGTAACTTTGAATATGAAATCAAGGTTGTTTGTTCAAGTCAGAGCAATTTCCAATTTCTCTTTCTGGCAGAAGACTGTCCCTGCTCCTATTGTCCCCAGAGGCAGCCTACTCAGCTGCCTCTTTTATTCTGCTGGTTAGTTTCATTTCTGGAAATAACAGCTGTTGTCTCCTTATGTCCCATAAGGTTTCTTTTCCTCAATCGTCTGTTGATTCTAGAACTAGAATTACAAAATAAATAGCCAATTATCAGAATCTGTGGTTGGCCTATATCTTTTCAGACTACCATGTTTCCCCGAAATTAGGACCTGTCTGGATAATAAGCCCAATTGGGCTTTCGAGTGCATGCGCTAAAATAAGCCCCCCCAAATACTTAGACGCATGTGCAGCTGCCACGCAAACAACACGACGTAAGGAGGTGAGGCCGGAGGAGAGGAAAGGGAGGGGGAACATGCCCCACGTGCCCCACACGTACCTGCCATCCATGTGGAACGGCCTTATGGAGGCCACTCCCGCAAACCCTAGCTCCCGCAATCCTTCTCTTACTGGCGGCCGCAAAGAGTGGCCACAAAAAATCTCTTGCCAGCCCTAACCCTGTCGACCTGGGACTGGGGGGAGGGGGACTTCTCTTCTCCCCCCCCCCCTCGCCGGGCATGGCAGGAGCTGGAAATTGGGTAAGACACGGCGGAGAAACGGACGCATGTCTTACCTGACTTCTAGCTCCTGCCATGCCCGGCAAATGGGGGAGAAGAGACTGCAAGGGGAGCATGAAATACCTATAACAGCAGAAAAGTACATCAGCATTTTAATCCTTAATTAGAAAGCTTTTTCCTATTAACATGGAACAAAGAGGTGAAGCTGAGGTCTAATTAAAACACTACTCAGGCATTGATCAAACTGATTGCTGAAAAGCTCAGAAACTGGAGTTGTTTCAGAAATCTGTGATAAAATATTTAACTACAAATTCCCTCCTGGGATCAGGCGAAAGGTCTATGTACTGAAACATTCACTTTCTTACATAATCAGAGAGAAATAAACACAATCTGAGAGAGAACACAATTTCCTATCCTCAGGAACTATTAAGCACAGATACAACTGTATTTAAGCATAAAGATTGCATGTTAAATTTCATGGTTCAAGGGTACTGATAAATCTTGTAATTATCATAAATATGGACTGTGATTAATATCCATAGTTGATATTTGAATAAAGAAAGCACCAATGCTTGGCTCTTTCATTAGATTTTGAGGTAATATAGTAATTACGTTTTACCTAATATGTACTGTTTGTTTCACTGTAGCTTACTGTATTAGCCTGGCCTTTAATTTTTCAGCAACCTAAATTCTAATATATGTAGAGTGCTAGAATAATCATTAATTCGATTTATTTTTAATGTTTTGGACATAAAACACACTGAAGTTCAGCATTTCTTACTTTTGCCTGTTTAGAGAACAAAATGTTAAGGGAGAAAAGCAGTTCCTCTCAATGTTCTGCATTATGACCACATCTAAGATACTCCTTCCAGTTCTTTTGAGAAGAGATTGGACAGCCACTTGTCTGAAATGGTATGAGGTGATGGTCGTTCTCTGAGCTTGTGGGTTGGTTTCCGAACATTTCCTTACCAGGCTAGGTGATACCTTCAGTGGAGTTTAGGGGATGTCAATGTCAGCGTTCTTCTGTTTATAAGGGCTTCAGGTATGGGTGTGTCAAGTGAGGTTCTTGTGATGGTACAGAATCTCCTGTTTGAGCAGGGGGTTGGAGTAGAACACCTCCAAGATCACTTCCAACACTGTTATCTATATTCTGTAGTTTTGGACACCATATTTTAGGAAGGACATGAACAAGCCAGAGCATGTCCATAGGAGAGCAACCGTTATGATAAAGGGATTGAAGCACAACTGTATGAGTAATGGTAAAAGGCACTGGGTTGTTTCTGTGGTGATTTCTGTTGATTGTCTAGACTGTACTTTTCTTGGCAAGATTTTGGCAATTATTTATTAAATTTATATGCTGCCTATCACACTATCAAGTGACTCTGAGTGGCCCTTGGCTATTTCCTAGGATTGAGAGAGAGGTACTAGCCCAAAATTATCCAGGTGGCTTTGTGACTAAGGTGAGATGAACTCATGGTCTCCTGGTTTATAGCCTGGTGCCTTAACTACTATATCAAACTGCTATCCTGGGATATTTAACTTGGGAGAAAAGAAAACGGCAGGGTGCCATGATACTCTTCAAGTTTCTAAAATGCTAATGTAGCAGATGGCGAAGAATCATTCAGAATTGTTCCAATACAGAGGCAAGTCAGAAGGGATTTAAATAACAAAGTAATAGATTTCAGTTGACACCACAAAACATTTCCCAACAGTAACTGGAACTGACTGTCTTGCGATGAGTGAACAACTGGAGTTATTAAAGAAAGGTCCCCTGCATCAGCTTGTAAATCCATGCCTCTACTAGAGTTGTTAAACAAAGGCATCCCCTACACCAGCTTGTAAATCCCTGCCTGCTACTCATAAATGCACTGTAGTAATGGGACCACACAAATTATTTAAAATGATGCCCATTGTCATTGATGACAGAAAAGCAAGATAAAAATGGTATGTGTGTGTGTTGGAGGGGGAGAATTGCCAAAGCTCAAAAGCTCACTCATGTTCAAAAGCTCTACCTTATCATCCTAGCTGGCTCCTTTTGACACACATATATTTCCTGTAGAAGTGTTCTGTAAAGAAACAGATTTTGACAGCTCGATTTACAGCACACTGGAGGAAAACTAGGCAATTTGGAAGGATAATTAAAACTAGAGTAGCATACTAGAAAGTGGATTATGATGTTGTCAGGTAGGATGCCTGAAACAGTCACGCAAGACAGTCTGGATGTAAATTAATCCAGCAGGGGAGTTCACAAAAAGAAACCTGTCTGAAGAGGCTGGATTGGTTTTTCTGGACAGATTAAATGATGGCCTTCTAACATCTAAATCAAGAGGGCCACCCTCAGTAAGGTTCTTCCCTAGGCAGTTAATTTGTAGAATATTTGCTGAGAGAATTGTATGAATAAACAAGTTTGTAAGGAAAACTCTATTTTTATTTACTATTTACTATAGAATCTTCATTAGCAGCAGAAGGGTCTGCAAGGGAAATTAGGATACTGTAATTCCCACCATTGAAATGCAAGCTCTGTCTTTTTTGTTTATGTAACATGCAAATATCGACAAAAGAGTTCATGGCATAACAGTGCTTTCATATTTTGACAGAAGCATCAGATCCTCCACAGTTCCTCTTTAAAACATTTCGCCTTAAACTGTGGAGGAAAAAACCCAGCAGTCACTGTTTTGTTTTGGGTTTGTTTGCTATCTTTTGGCATTTTGCAGGGTAGGGGGTTGGGTAGACATCTTAGATTTTCTTCACTGATTTCAGTTGGCTCCTCTCACTCAATCCCCCAGGGACATACAAAGAATCTCAGTGTGAAGTAGAAAACGAACTATCCAGACAGTATGAGGATTTCCTTTATATATCTACTATTTCTTTTGTGTAATTTCAGAGGAAGC